GGCTTCTTCGCCCCGCCGCTCGCGGACACGTTTACCGGCCACGACGGCGTTGGCAGCAGCTGCGGGGTACGATATAAAGCTCAAAATCAGTGCCAGACATAGACTTTGATTCAAGCGTCATTGTCAAGAAGAGAAATTGTAATGCCTTCTTCTTGTTCGGGTCCGGGAGGATCTTGATGTCTTCCTCGCCGCGCCGCTCTCAGCGGCGTACACCGGCGACAACGGCATTGGCAGCGGCTGCAACAATGAAGCAGATCTTTATCACGATATTGAATTCCATCAGGGAGAGAAATAGGGATTCTCTTCTAGTTTCAGTCCAGAGATATGTTGATGTCTTCTTCGCCGCGCCGCTCGCGGAAGCGGATACCCGCGACGACAGCATTGGCAGCGGCTGGGGAAGTGAAACAGAAGGCGTAATCAGTACATTATAGGATCGGGAGATGATAGAGAAGATCAATTCGTCTTAGATCGGTCCAGAAAGATGTTAATGCTTTCCTCGCCCCCGCCGCTCGCGAGATTGTATACTGGCCACTACGGAATGGGCAGCGGCTGCAGCGAAGAAAACGAATTCCTGACTACCATATCAAATCCTATCAGGGAGAGGGAAACGCTGAGTTTCTTCTGCATCCGGTCCTTCGGTCCATGAAGATGTTGTCTTCTTTGCCCCGCCGCTCCCGGAAACGCTTACCGGCCACGCATCATTGGCGGCGGCTGCGGGGAAAGCACTCTTCTTTTCATTACCTCTTAGAATTGAAAGACAATTGGATCGTTCGACTCCGGTACTGGAAAAATCTGATGTCTTCTTTGCCCCGCCGCTCCCGGGGTTATTGCGCCCACAACGGTGGAAGCGGCCAAGGGAGGGAGAAATAAATTCTCACTTTGGTATCCTTTCAGGATTTCTTTTGTTTCTCGTCATCAGTGGAACGAGTCACGGATATTTCAATAAGGCAGCTTTTCTATGGACTCTCATCCCCGACAAGATAGGTCGTAAAACGGCTTTGGTGGTGGTCTCGGGGTTCGATGGGCTTCCTAAAAAACGTGGAGTCTCCGATGTGCGAAGCCCCAATCAAAAATGAATCAGGAAAAACACCCCTAATAACCAACGTTTAATCCTTTTGAATAGACCTCCTTCCGGAAATTGCAATCGAAGTAGAGGATGGTTCTCACCCGTCATCATTGACTGCTTCGGTTCCGCTGGTTCCGGTTCCGCTGACTTCGGGGACTGCGCGAGAAGATTCTTCCCGGAGGACTCCGCCCGGGGGGTGTCTTGTAAACGCTCCGGCGCCTTGAGGGAGGGGCCCCCGGCGCGTCTTTGCTGGTGCGCGAGCTGCGCGGCGAAATCCAGGTCGTCGATTCCTGAAAGAAGACATCGAGACCGTTGATTCTATGGCTTTGAAGCTTTCTAAGAACCTCAAGGAGAACGACCGGAGTGGGAGTTTCTGCTGCTGGTGTGCGATCTGAGCGGCGAAGTCCAGGTCGTCGATTCCTGAGAAACAGGATCGTAAGGGTTAACATATGTGCTTGAATTGTTTTTATGTCCTCGAGGCAGCGGATCGAAGTTCCCCGGCTAGTAGCAAACTAAGCGGGCGACTCTCCAGGAACGCTGGTTTCTACTTTCCTGAAGGTGCATTCGAAACGGACCGCCTCAAAGTTTCCCTCGTATTCCTCTCAAACATAACGGACGGATCGGACTCGAGGGAACGGATTGCTCTCCGATCGAAATGAACTAAGAGGATCTCTCATCTGGCGCCCCCAATGCGCGCGGAGAGTGGAGGTCGTACTATACGGGTCTATGCACGTTTCATCAAGAGGAAGTTATATAACAACGGGCCGAGGTGCTGTGACCGACTGTACTTGAAACAGAGCAAAATGAAGGAAAGAGAAACGGAAGAGTAGCGAACGAGCGAACCTAGCGCTCGCAGCGTGCGCGCACAGATGGTGTGGAAGCCGTAGCTTTTAGTCTGTGCTTATTAGCTCAATAGGTGTATCTTGAGAAGCACGGCCCGAGGTGCTGTTACCAACTGTACTTGGGTGAATGAGAAAGAGGAAACGAACTCTCAGTGCGCGCCCAAGTTCAAAGTGCACGTCGTTACCTAGTTTTTTGCGCGTATTCCTTGAAAGGGGCTTTGACCATTTACTGGGCAAGTTGCTGTGACCGACGCTTTGCAAAATACTGGACCGGATCGCACGGACAAACGATGGAACGTAAGGAACGGAGTGAGCTAAGGAACATGCTCACCTGACGCTCTCAGTATCCGCGCAAACTTCGAGTCGTTTAGGTCATCTGCTTCTTTCATCCAGAGCGTCTTTTACCAACTACGGGCCGCGGTACTACGACGCGCTCTGGTTAGATGAGTGGATTGGACGAAAACCAGATGTAGCAGACGCTCTCACCTGGCGCATTCAGTGCGCGCGGGAAGTCCGAGTGCAGGTCGCAGCTTCCGGGGTGTCTGCTTGTTTCTCTATACTGGATGATTTCTGCAACGGGCTGTGTACCGTGGCCGGATCTATTTAGATGAATGGAACGAAGTGAACGAACGGAACGGACGGAACGACGGAAGCAACTGGCTTACCTGGCCGTGGCAGTGCGCGCGCAAGGTCCGAGTGGAGGTCGTAGCTTCCGTCTTTCTCCGAATGTTTCCAAGCGTGCGTATTTCTAACGGCCGGGGATCTGCGACCAACTAAATCTGGACGGATTAAACCGATT